ATAAAGATTATAAAAATAATATATTATATTATATTATATAATAATATATTATATTATAAAAATAATAGATTCTAGTCTATACATGAAAATTATAAGAAAAAGATCTGTAAATTCAAATCATTAAAATTATAATAATGTTTAAAATTTGAAGTATTTCTCTGCTGACTAGCTTGACATTAACCAAAAAGTTTGTTTCTGGTATCATCTTCATATACCTTTAATGCAACATAAACATCTATAATTATTATTAAGAAATATGTATTGACCTCTCATTTTGTGCCAACTCTCATGCCAGGCACTGTGAACACACAAAAAAATTGGACTTACCTGAAGTAATTTAATATTAATTTTAAGTAGATTGGGAAAAGTTAAAGATGCATTGTATAATCCCTAATCACTAAAAAACAATGGAAAAAATATAACTAGAAAGTCAGTAGAAAGATTAAAATGGAATAATAAAATAATTAATACAAAAGAAGGCTGGAAAGAAGGAAAAGAACAAAAAACAGATGAGATAGCTAAAAAGTAAGTGACAAAATGGCAGATCTAAATGTAGTTTTCCATAGGAAAAGGCAAAAAGTATCAGACTGGAGTAAAAGACAAACAAACAAACAAAAAGAGCAAAAGCCAGCTATTTGCTGTCTACAAGATACACGTTTTAAATAAGAAGACATAAATGGAATGAATGTAGAAGGCTGGAAAATGATATACCACTCAGTCAGCATAAGAAAGCTATAACGGTTGTATTAACAGCACATAAAATAGACCTCAAGATGGGTAGCGACCTTGCTAATGACTTAAAAATTAATATAGCAGGAAACTATACCCATAAATATATTTGCTTAACATCGGAACTTCAAAATATATGAAACAAAAACTGCAAAACCAAAGAAAAAAACAGACAAATTCTGAAACATAATTGGGAGCTAACACTCCTCTCTTGGTTATTGATAGAACAAACCACAATATCAGACAAGACACAGAATATCTGAACACTATGGACCATATTGATCTAGTTAATACATATATAGAACTAGTTAATACATATATAGAACACTATACCCAACAACTATAGAGTATATATTCTTTTCAAGTGGACATGGACTATTCACTGAGACAGACCATATGCAAGAGTATAAAACAAGTTTCAACAGATCTCAAAAGACTGAAATGCTCTACAGAATTAAATTAGAACTCAGTGATAAGCCATCTAGGAAAGTCCCAAATATTTAGAAATTAAACAACACATTTCCAAATAACTCACAGGTCAAAGAAGAAATTCGAAACTAGTTTGAGCTGAATGATTATGAAAACATAACATATCAAAATTTATGGGATGTAATTTACCTAGTACAGAAAAGAAACTTATAGGTACAAATGTTCACATTAGAAAAGAAAAAAATCTAAAATCAATGATCTGAGCTTCTATATTAGAAAACTAGGAAAAGAAGAACAAATTAAGGAAATAATAAGGAAGGAAGGAAAGGAAAGAAAATAGGAAGGAAATAATAAAAGGAAGGAAATAATAAAAGTTAAAAAGAAAATCAACACAGGAGAAAGCATTCAAACATTAGAGAAAAATCAATGAAACCCAAAGGTGGTTGTTTGGTTCTTTATAAAATTGATAAACCTGACAAATTGGGAATGTCAGAAATGACAAAGGGAATTAAAAAGATATCTATAGTACTTGTCAAAGGTAATAACCACTGATTTTGTTCAAAACTCCTGGATGGTATCAAAGTCAAAAATAGAGATCTTTATGTCCTTTGAATGTACAAAAAGAGGCATCCTCCTTTTCTTTTGCTTTTTCACATTTAAAGAACCGACTGTGAAAAAAATCAACTCTCTTGACCTCAAGACAGTTTTCTAAAAATCAATTATTCTGATCAATTAATACCACCTGGTGAGCATACCAAACATTGTACTAAAGAAGAGGGTGGGGGCTGTGGTGGGTAGATGGGAAATAGGTGGTTAAATCTGACTTTTAGATAAGCCACTTCTCAAAAATCTCAGGTGTGCCTGAATCACCTAGAGATCTTGGTGAATGTAGGCTCTGATTCAGAGGGCCCAGAGTGGGGCCTGAGTTTTGCATTTCTAACAAGGTCCCCAGGAGCCAAAGCTGCTGGTCCCAGGGATGCCTAGGCAAGGTTCTAGGAGCCTTGGAAGTGTATTAACCTCAAGGCAAGTGTATTAACCTCAAGTGTATTAACCTCAAGGAAGTGTATTAACCTCAAGTGTATTAACCTCATGGGCTGGGCTTGCCTCTTGCCCCATTAGTACAGAGCGCAAAAGAGCATCTCTACCTTGTGCCACCATTTCTTATCAGCGCAACCTATTTTCCCTTGTACAATAAAAGAATCAAATTCCAATATGTGATTGTTATATAAAGACCCTAAACAAAAGTTTTTTGATGAATTATTAGATTCCTGCAACTCCCTGAGGTGGGTACCATGATTATTCCTATTTTACAAAAGGGAAGACTCTGGCCAAGAGAGGTTAGGTCACACAAGCAAGCATGGAAATAATTAAAAAATCCAGAGTCTACTCTGAAGACCAAGTTCTCAACTGTTGCTTCCTCCTTACTGTCTTTATATCACAAGGTTCTTTCCTGCTTTGTCACTGCATCAGAAATGTCTTGCAGTTGACTGCTTTCTTCTATTCCCAAGTTGATAAAGCCAAGTCTGGTCTTCTCATTAAAATGACTTGGTTTCAGGAAAAGGCAACTAAAATTCAAATTAAGAAATCACCTGAAATTCAGCAAATAGAAGGAGTATTTAACATTAGCACTGATTTTTTTTTGTTTTTACTTTTTTTAAAGGAAGTAATTTCAGTTCATGAAAGATTATCATGTGCCTCTCAGTACTCTTGGACACTGTCACTTCATCAACAGAACACCTGCTATTTTATCCTGCAAGGATGGCAGGAGGCTCTACAAGAACCTTTCCGACCAATGGGGAGAAGCTGCTACACACCACACTGCAACATCTGTGATCTGAGCACAAATTCCAGTGCCCTTAAGTCTAATAAAGAGTTTAATGTATGTCCTTTTTATCATTCTACTAGGAGGAGACCCTAATTCGACGCAGCTAACCAACACGTACATGAAAACAGTGGCTCTCAAACTTGATTGCACTGGGGAATCCTCAGGGAACTTTAAAACACACGGATGCCTGACTCCCACTGCTACAGAGTTTGATATAATTGGCTTGGGATGGTCTTGATAGCAGATTTTTTAGATCCTACTAAGGAGATTCTAATGCACAGCCACAGCTGAAAAGCACTGGCATAAAAGGTCGAACAATGACTGTAAAATTCACTCTACAGCCAAAAAAAAAAAAAAAAAAAGGGCGAGAAGGTATGTCTTCATTCACTGTTAGGGTTTCGCCTACCTACTTAGCCACAAAGGTCTAAGACACCAGTAGACTCCCCATTCTAACTGCAAGCAGTGGTTCCCCATAATCGGTGAGCAACTGCATAGTTTACACTTGGTGTTTAATAAATAACCAATTATCCCAGATATCAACAACATTGCTCCAAAGCAAGGGTTCTTAACGTGGCGATGGAATTCAATGATCTGTGAACTTGGATTAGATGAGGGAAAAAAAAAATCACACCTTTACATTTACTAATATTTCACAAAAGTTCCTCATGTCCTTCAGTTATGAGTTGGAGGCAACAGGTCACAGTTCTCGAGAGTTTGCACCCACCGATATTTTCATGTCACATTTTAATTTGGGCAATTATCTTTAAATCCCAACTGCAGTCACCACTACTCTGATATCACAGTTATTTAATAGACCTGCTGTTAGATTTATAATAAATAATATATATATATTCATGCAATAATGATGACGCACATATGTCACTATATCATGACTTAGTACGTTGATAACTGTATTCCGGTAAAACTGATTCTGATTTAATTGTATTTTACACATTCAGCAATATGACTCTGAGAAGGGGTCTAAATGCTTCACCTAGCCGAAGTAGTCCCTGGCACAAGAAAAGGCAAGAGCCCGCTGGAAGAGGGCCACCAAGGCCACCCACAGCAGGAAGAGCACTCTCCCTAGGGAGACACCCTGCCCGGAGTGGGTCTTGTTTTCCCCTGCATTTCCGCAGATAAGATTTAGCCTGAAAATCCAGTTCAACTCAGCGGAGAGAGGGCTTGCTTTCTCCTCAGCTGCCTCCTGCCCTTGGCATTTTCCAGTGCCCAGGCTGCCAGGCCGGTAACTCGAGCCTCCAAATTAATCAAAACACAGCGCCCAGTTCAAACCCAGGCGCACAAACTCGGGAGCCAGACGAGCTCTCCTCTCGTGACCCCCGGGCCACAGCTCTGGGCCGGGCCGCCACCCCTAGAACACCACACCTCCTCCACCGCCCTCTCCCAGGCAGGTGTCCGGGCCCTGGCGCAGCGGTGGCCCAGCCTGCGGGCGCCTTACCTCGGCGGGTCACCTCAGCGCCGGGAGCTGCCGCCTTGTCCGCCCGCGGGACGCGCCCCTCTCGGCTCCGCCTAGCCCAGACCCGCCCGGGACCCGCCGCCTCTTCTCCGCGCTCTCACGGCCAAACCCGCGACTGCAGGTCGGAGGCGGGGAGGCGAAGGGAAGAGCCCGAGAGGCGCGGCCGCGGGCGCAGGGAGCCAGCCGGGCCTCGCGAATGCAGACGCCCCGCGCGCCTCCCGCTTAATCTGGGCAGGGCCGCTGGCCACTCCCTCCACCCTGCGCGGCCACCTCCCCACAGCCACCCCCAAAGCCCCCACCTCCGACTTGCACCCCCCTACCCGGCCTGGGTCCCAGGACCTCGGGAGCTTCGCCTTCTTAGCCGCTTACCCTGGATCCGCGCCCACCTGCCCCACAGGAGCCCAGCCCTTTCTCGCCTCCTGGGCACGCTGCCCGGGTCGAAGGGACACTGCCTGGTAAGTCGGGAGGGAGGGGGTACGAGGGCGGGACCTGAGCCACGTCTTCCCTCCCTTGGAGCCACAACCAAAAGCCTGGGTGGGGAGGGACGGGCCGCGCAGCTGAGCCTTTCAAAACCCGCCCTGGCCGGCTGGCGAGGCGAGCTCCACCGCCGGAGGTCCCCAACCCGCGCTGCGCAGGGGCCGCGGTGGCCCGAGAGCCTGCGGGTCCCCGGACGCGCTGGGGCTGCGAGCGGGCGCCCACCATGCGCCCCGGCGCGGCGCGCGGGCCGCCGGCGCTCCTGCTGCCGCTCCTGCTGGTGCTCCTGGCGGCGGCGCCCGCGGCCAGCAAGGTGAGTGCCCGCCGCGCGACCCCGCCCGCACTCGGGCCCCCACCCCGACCCCGGCCCTAACCACCAGCGCGCCGCCCCCGAGCCGCTGCCTGGCCGGTGGCGCGGCCGAGGGCTCCGCGCAGGTCCGGCACTGGCAGCCAGCGGGATGCCGGGGAACAGGTGGAACGCGCGGGCTGGGGGAACAGGCGAGAGGGGGCGTTATCAAGTTCCCTAGGAGTCAGGGATGGGGGCAGAGGCCTTCAAAGGCCAGTAAATAAATACAGAGACACACAGATAATCGCCAGGGGTGATAGGTGAGAACGCCGGATGTGGGGATGCGCGGTGTCACGTCGGGGACTCAGAGCCGCGGCTGGGGCTGGCTGAGAGCAGGGACTCCGAGGCTTCCCAGTTAGGACCTCGCGCTCAGCCCTCCCCTCTCCGGGGCTCAGTTTCCTCCGTGCCAAAACTGGTCCTCCGGTGTTCCATTGCTCTTGTTGGGAAAAGCAAATGCTATCGCTGAAAAATGAGGAGCACCTTAGAAAATAGAACTCAGGTTAGGAGAAATGAAGCAATCTGTCACTTCGTTTTGATTTTGACTTGGAATTTTAGTGATCCTGGGTTCATTGGAATCCACTCTGTATTTCTTATGCTTTGCCGTTAAAGATGAGTGTCCCGGAAACTACTGTGCCTCCTAGAGTTGACTGACTTGATTTCAACTTGTGGAAGTGAAGTGTAACTTTTCAGATGCTTTGCGTTATTTTTAAACTTAAAAAAACTAAGTTGGGTGATAACGTGGGGTAGTACGTCTCATTTCCAAGGATGAGCAGATGTTTTACAAATTTTATGACTGAGACTTTGGTTGGAAATTAATAGTCACAGAAATATTTACGTGTTACATGAAAAGAGTTTTAGAACCTATGGGCACATATAATTCAGGTTTTTTCTATTTTATTTAAACTTTAAATGAAGACATAATAGACATTGTAGATGGAACTAAAGCCCTCATTGACTATCCCCAAACCTCTCACCACTTCCTTGTCTTCAAAGAGGTATCCCTTCTCACCACTTTCATGTTTTTCCAGATATTTTCCATGCATTTACATACACATTTATGTACCACAAACTTATAGGTCTTTCTGGTTTTTAACATAATTGATACCATGTTCTGTATCCTTTTGCAACCTACAGATCTGTCCATGTCAGTATTTCAGACCTACCTCTTTTTCTTTTTGCTCTCTTACATAGTTTTTCACAATATACTAAAGTTAATTGAACCTATCAATTTACATTTAGATTATTTTGCGTTTCACATTCTGAAGAATTTTTGTAATTTGTGTAATTGCTTTATGTAGCTTGTTCTAACAAAAATGCACTTACAAGCCCAGGTAGCTAAATACTTCTGGGCATGAATAAAACTCATGCAAATCAGTGTGGATTATCTATTAGTTTTAACCAGGAACAAATAAATCCATAAAAGCAACAATCCTAAAGGGAGTATATATTGTGGGAAGGCCTGAGAAAGAGTTCCAGAGCAGGCTTTGCACATTTGCTGGACTCAGAAGAAGAATGAGATTGGGAAGAGGTGGGGGAACTGTACCTGTGTAATGTTCAGCCTAAAAACATGATGCTCGGTGACTGTGCAACCTCCAATTATACCATTTTCAATTCTAGTCTTACACACCCTTATTATTTTTACATATAAATGTTTCTGCTTTGACTTTGGCCAAATCTTGGTGACTTCTTGCTGATACTACAACTAACCCACTTGTATTGTTTTTCTCATCACTTGAAATAAGTCTTTGTTTAAAGCTTTAAAGATTATCATTTTCATCGTACCTGCTGGATTAGACAGAAAACATGCCATTAAAATTATGAAATGTGCCTTCTTCTTATAGAGAAGAAGGATCACATGTTAACTGATGATCGGGTGACTTGTGCCACCATGGCTCCCTTCCCAGAGAAACTCTGATGTTGGGCAAGGCATTTGACCACTCTGAGTCTCAGTTTTCTCATCTGTAAAATGACAAAGTTGAAACCCCTATGAGACCAGCAGGTGAAGTGATGAGTGAGGCAATGCGGTAGGGACAATGTTCACACCCAGCCAGTTGTTTGCATTCTAGAATTCAGGCCCAATCACGCCAGAATCACTTCAGGAGAGACTTTGGGAATCCAGTTTTCATTAGAAACTTCTCGAATTCTACATATTAGCCACCAAGTCAAGACTTTACAAAAGACATAGTCTGGACCAAACAATTACAAATGAGAGCTAAATTTAACCTCTGAGCCATTATATTTACCATCTTTGTGCTATACTAGTTAAGGGCACATTTTGCTCTACATTTCTCCAGTTTTACTTTAGCATTTCTCAAAACAGGGAGATAGCAGTGGTGCTGACCCTACATGCCAACTTTAGACAGGGTGGAACTGTCCGCCCACACGGTTTGTACAGGAAGCACCCAGAGTGAAATACCTCTGCTGCTTCCAGCAGTGCTCCAGTTCCAAGCAGGCTCAGGCTGTTGAGCAAATCCCCTGGGCCCAGTGCAACCACTTGGGCCTGGGAGACACTCTTGCCTCAGGCACTAGATCTGGGCCAGGAGGTGTAGAATGCCCTCTCTTTGATTTCTGGATAAGGTGAGGTTCACGAATTAAGGTATCATGGTTTATCCTTCCTCTTTTTGCCTTAAAATTCCAGGCAGGGCAGAGATCTGAGAAGCAAATAGCAACAGCTGAGAAACAGCTGTATTTAGAGAAGGGTGATTTCTCACCTGATTTCATTTTTAAGTTTAAAAAAAATTCAGTGGAATTAGAAAACATTTCAAACAAACAAAAAATAATTAAGACACCAATGTATTTATCCAAGATTAAGCAAATGTTGATAAGCTTTGACTTGTTTACTCTCATATTTCTTCCTTTGGGAAAAAAATATATGAATAGAAGAAGTTATACACGCATTCTTTACTCCTTATTCCATCCCAAGAAGTTTACATATATCATCAAGTTACATATATCATTCTCCTACATAGTTTTATATTTATCTTCTGGGTGTGTGTAGCTTTCATAAAAAATAAATATTATTGTTTTGTGGTTTTTCAAGTGTAATAAATAGTTTCACATTATATATATTTCCCCTACATAGTTTTATATTTATCTTTTGGCTATGTGTAGCTTTCATAAAAAATAAATATTATTGTTTTGTGGTTTTTCAAGTGTAATAGTTTCACATCATATATATATATTGAATATATATATTGAAAAAATATATATATATATTAAATATATATATATATTGAACCTCACCTTTTATCACTCAATATTGTTTTTAGATTTTATCCATTTTGGTACACAGAGATGTGATTTATTTGCAGTAACAGTTTCTGCATAATATTCAGTTATATAAATAAAGCATGTTTTTTCCCTCCCCCTAAACAGAATAAGCTTGTCTTCACATTTTTGTTTTACAAAGTTGCAATGCATATCTTTGTATATGTGTCATTGTGACAATTAGAATTAGAATTCCTAGGTATAATCATAGAGAAAATATATTTTAAATTTATATATGAATTGTCAAACTGATCTCCAAAAGGATTGCACCATCAGTGTACCGGAGTACCTGTTTCCCCATTTCTTTGGCAAAACTTGGCCTATTTAGATATTAACGGGTGTGAAGTGAGATCTATTTTGACTAATGAGTATGTAAACCTTTTCGTATTTTAATTGGTCATTTATATTTCCCTCAGTGTGAATTGCATGTAAAATTTTCTACCTATTTATCTATTGTGAACTTTGCCCTTTTGTTGCAAATTAATTAGAAGTTATTTATATATTTGGATACCAAGCTTTTGTCATTTAAATGTATAGCAGATCTTTCATTCCAATTTTTGGTTTATATTTTCATTTAGTTACTGGTACCTTAACTGTTTTTTTCACCATAATCTCAAACATCTAGGGTTTTTTTTGATATTTTATCTTTTGCAGCTTGTCAAAGAAATCCTTTCTTTTCCTGGTATTATAAAAATGTTCTCCTACTTACACAAAAGTTTTACAATTTAAATCTTTTACATTTAGATATCTTAATCCTGGAATTGTTTTCTATCTATGGGTTCTGATTTTATCTTTTTCAATATAGATGACAGTTTCCCAACATGATTTATTGAATAGTACATCCTTTCTCTCAATGTTTTGCAGTGTTTTATCTGCAAACATGTATAACAAGCACTCATTCATAGCAGGTCTATTTGTAAGCTTTCTATTCCATTAATCCAATTTTTTTTTGTCTCTACACCAATACCATACTGTTTTTGATCACTGTATTTATATTAAAACTATGTCTGATAGGACAAGTACCAGATAGAATAGTTATCTCTATTGTTATTATTCTTTGAAACTGTCACTAGTATTCTTTCCTTTTTGCTCCTCTGGCTGAATTTTTAGCATCTGTTGGTCACAAGTTCATTAAAAAAATTCCTGTGGGTTGGTGATTGGTATTGCATTGAACATATATGTTAGCTGCTTATTTTTGGTGCATAAACACATGAATGGTGAATAGAAATACTACCGATCTTTACTTTTTGATCTTGGGTCAAGCAATCTTATTGAATTTTCTTATTATTTCTAAAAGATTGTAGATACTCTTAGATATTCTATGTAGCCAGTCATATTGTCAGCAAATAATTTTTCTTTCTTTCTAATCTTACATCTTTTATTTCCCTGTATTACTGTGCTGACCAGCACTTCTACTGCAAATAAAAGCCGTAACAACACACAAATCTATCTCATTATTGAAGTTAAAGGGAATGCTTCTAACATTTTGTTAAGTACGATTTTTTTCTGTAGAGTTTTAATAGATTCTTCTTATCAGGTTAAGGAGTTTCTTTATCTTCCTGATATTGCTGTTTTTGCTCTATTTAATGAGTAGATATTAATGTTATCCTTTATTTTTTTCTGCATCTGTTTTAAGAAAATCATATATTCTTTAGTCAGTCAATGTAGTAAATGAATGTATTTTTAAAATATTTACCATC